GCTGGCCCCGCCGCCCGCGCTCGCGTCCCGCCGCCCCGCCGCGCCCGGCTCCGCGCTGCTGCCGGCGCGCCCGCTGCTGTCGCTCGGGCTGCTGCAGCTGATCCTGGGCTGCTGCATGGTGGCGCTCAGCTTCGGGGCGCTGTCGCTGAGCAGCTCGCCGCAGGTGAAGAACTCCTGCCCGTTCTGGGCCGGCTCCTCGGTGAGTAGCGAGCGCCTCTCCGCGGGGGGCCCGCCCTCGGGGCGGAGGGTTGCCGGAGGGTCCCTTCCGCTGTTTTTGTTTGACTTCAGTTGGGGAGCGCAGACCCTAAAGTCAACCTGGAGTGTTGGCGACGAGTGTGGATGGGATGGGAGGGGCGGGAGTGTCGGGAGGCAGCCAAGTAGAAGGGGCGTTGGGTTGCACCTGGGCAGTTGTAGTTAGTCCCTTGGATCTTTCCGTCAAGTTAACGTTAAGCACAGTATCAAACTCAACTTTTGTTTTGTTTTGTTTTGTTTTTTTGTGGCCCCTGAATACTGCATTGGCAAAGTAAACTCCAGGAGTACGGGGCCTTTGATACGTTTTCCTCACCGACACAACAATACCCTTACAGCGTAGGGTCCTTCTGGAATGGACAGGGTGAAATGGGGAGAGGTTGACTTGTTTCTATTCTTCATTGAGACACAAGCCTACATGAGGGAGTATCTGGTGTTGGATGACTGAACCCCGAGGAGCTCGGAGGTAATAAGAGGTTGCGTGTGGCTAATGGCTTGTACCTGGTCGTTAGGAGAGGGCTCAAACTCTGGGTGGGTTCCCGGAGCCACCAAGGCTGCTCTCTCTGCACAAGTGGACGTTCCCGGAACGGAACCTGTCATTACGGATGCACGCCCCAGAACTCCAGAAGTGTAGGGTTGCTAGCTCTCGACGTCTGCCCTGCCCTGGCACCTGGTCCTGCCTCCTTAGCCAATGGGGCATAGCGAAGCCTGACCTCGGGGTGTGTGTGTGGCGGAAGCGGCTGCCAGTCAGCAAGCATCCGTAGACTGGATGGCGGCTACCCACACCTGCCTCCTAACTGTGTCACAACTCTTGAGGCATCCAACCCCTTGAGGTTTGCCAGGGGCCTGGAGGCTTGGAAACAGGTCTTTGTGCAGTGACTGGAGAGGGTAAGTAAAGCGAAGGACCTTTCTATAAAAGCCGGGCAATGTCTGTGGCCTTTTCTACGACCTGCAGTGAGTGGACATTTTGTGTTCTGCCGATTAGAACATATCCAGAGTCAAGACCAAATTTCAAAGATGTGGGAGAACTTACTGAACCTAGAGTGACTGTTTGAATGAGAACATTAAGAACTCAGGGTTTCTCTGGCCTAACCCAGAGTTTCGATTACCCACTGTCAATCTGCTCTTCTTTTAAACACCTTTGCTGAATGGTTCTGTTGGGACCGCAGTCCTTTTGTGCTACAGTGAGTGACATCCACGACTTACGTATTAGGTAGACAGAATTCCACCCTATAGTTCTGTCCCTGGACTCTGCTACTGTCTGTGTGGTTGTTCTGGAGTACCTTGAACTGTGGGGACTCAAAATAGATTGGGAGCCAGAATGATAATTCGCCCCCTGCCCCCAGGCTAATAACCCAGATGGCCGTTGCATTTCTTTCCTCTAAGTACCCCGGGCCAGAATCTTGAATGTATTTTATGGATTTGCTCTTTGTAAAACCATAATCCATTGTTCTCTCAAGATTTATTAAAAATGATTTGTGGGGGTGCTGGGAAATGGTTCAGTCAGTAAAATGCCTGTGGTATTAACATGGGGACCTTGGTTTGGTCCCTGAAACTCACCTAAAAGCTAGGTGTAGGGAGAGGGGAGCCTGAATCTCAGTGCCAGGGGTGGGGTTAGAAGAGGGTGGACACAGTGGATCCCCACAGTTTATTGCCCAGTCAGCCTAGCCAACCTGACGAGACATCCAGTCTCAAAAATAGAGTGGAGAGTATACCCAGTGTCATTCTCTGCCACCATGCACGTGTAGAGATCCTCACTAACAAGTGCATACAACCACACACATAACAAGTGCGCGCGCGCACGCACACACGCACACACACACACACACACACACACACACACTCACTCACTCACACAGAGTATGTATTTGTTTTTCTTCTCTAAAATCAAAACCTGAAATCAGTTTGCAATTGTGAATTATTTCAGAGGTAAGTAAATGCACTTAGTTATCAAAGAAGCCACAGCCAGGTTTGGTGAGATGGAAAACAAAGCTCACAAACCAGAATGTGCAGGATGGGGGGCTTGCCACTGGCTGGGCTTGGCACATCAGACTGAAGAAGGGATCAAAGATTTGGATTTGAGGGGCTCTCTTCCATGTCATGGTCCACCCTATGCCTGTGTTCAGATCTGTGACTGTCGTTTAGTCTTTCTTTGTGTATGTGTGCTCTGTTCCTAAGGTTGTTTTCAGAACTTGTAAAATGGTAACAGAACCAATGAATATTAACTATGTCCTCAGAACAACGAAATAAGGTTTAAGCATATATTCTCTTGTGTTTTAGGAAGAAATACACCATACTTGTATCATGTTTCTTTAAAATTTTATTTTATTAACTTTGTATTATTAACTTTTTATTAACTTTATTAACTTATTCACTTTGTATCCCAGCTGTAGCCCCCTCTCCAATCCCCTCCCAATCCTACCCTCCCTCTCTCTTCTCTGCCTATGCCCCTCCCCTCGTCCACTGCTAGGGGAGGTCCTCCTCCCTTTCCATCTGACCTTAGCCTATCAGGTCTCATCAGGACTGGCTGCATTGTCTTCCTCTGTGGCCTGACAAGACTGATCCCCCTCAGGTGGAGGTGAGCAAAGAGCCAGCCCTGAGTTCATGTTAGAGACAGTCCCTGTACCCATTACTAGGGAACCCTCTTGGACATTGAGCTGTCATGGGCTACAACTGTGCAGGGTTTCTAGGTTACCTCAATGCATGATCCTTGTTTGGAGTATCAGTCTCACATAAGACCCCTGTGCCCAGATTTTTTGGTTCTGTTGCTCTCCTTGTGGGACTCCTGTCCCCTCCAGGTCTAGCTATCTCCCCCTTCTATCATAAGATTCCCTGCACTCTGCCCAAAGTTTGCCTATGAGTCTTGTGTCATGTTTTAAACTCGTGTAGATGAGAGAGCTCCTAAAAAATCCTACATCATGAGAAAAGTTAGACTTACGCTGACACCGCATAACAGCAGCTCCTCTCCAGCCACTGGAACAGTGGTTTCTTCTGTACCCCCTCCTAGGTTCTACCACTGGTCCTGTGTGTTCTGACAGATACAAGAGCAAGGAATGTCAAGCAGGAACTAGGTCCTTTCTGCTCCCAGTTTGTTTGGCAGATTAACATTCCCATGTTATTCTGAAAGAAAAAAATTACATCATTGTAATTTCATGTGTAAAAATTTCACACACATACACAGAAAGAGAGAGAGATTGAGAGATTTCATAGAAGTGCCCAGGAAGTCTTAAGACCCCCTTCCACTTTGAACATTTTATTATGAAAAACAATTAGAGTTTTAACAGATGTGGAAAGGAGAATGTAATGACCCTGTGTGCTGACCCATCACCAGGGAACTAAGGACATCTGAATATCTGACACCACGTCCCCCCCCCCCCCAATCGGGTTTTTTCTAAGGCAAATTAAAGACACGCAACTTTAGCCATTAGACACTCCAGTATGTATTCTCAAAGAAGGGGCCTAAAGACATATTACAATAAACTCTGGTGTCTGGGAGAAGGTTTTTATGGAAAATGATGAAAACTTGTGACTTGGGACTGGAGAAATGAAAACAAACAAACAAACAAACAAACCAAAAAACCAAAACCCAAATAACCCATCTTTATTGAGCTGTAGCCTGCATGCCCGACAAGTCGAGAACACCGTCTGGTAGTTTCCAGTGAGTTCACTGTTGCACAGCCATCACCAAAATGGGAAGTTCTTTCACATCGCCCCCAGATCTCCTTTCTCTCCCTGTCTCCATCCCTCTGTCCAGATACAACCAATTTCCCTACTTTCTGGCTCTGTAGGTTACGTCTACCCTGGACATTTCATACATATACATACACATACATATGGGATCCTATAACACATGGTCTTTTATGACTGAATGACTTCTTTTAATTGGCTACTTTCCAGACTCACCCAGTTCAGCAATAGCTCGTTCCCGTCAGTTGTGAACTGCTGTTTCATTGTACAGCATACTGTGAGTGTGTCCACTTAGAGTTTCTTCCTCGCTCCTTCCTCCCTCCTCCCTTCTTTTGGCAGATCTGGGGACTGAACTCAGGACCAGAAGCAAGAGCTCTGCTTCTGAGTGACACCTGGCCCACTCAGCAGTTTGATCTGTGTCTGGCCTTGTACTGAGAGGAAGTGCGCACAAGTCTAATGCCACTTGGAATCCATGTGTAGGCACTGGGGAAGAATCTCCTCCTCACAGATGGTGAATGGCCGACCACGAGCATTTTAAGTTTGCCACATCAGGGAAGATGGCAAATCTTAATTTGGTTTTTGTGAACCTCGTTGTTTTGTGTTTAATCCAAGATGAGGTCCAAGGGGCAAACACATGCTGTTAAACAGCATATTTCAAGGATGATTTTTCCTGTTCACCTCTGGGAGAGGTGTTTGAGGCTTCGTCTACTTGAAAATACATTATGAATTAAGTCCTGTAAGTAACCTTCCCTACATTTTTGAATTAATATTTTAGCAATGTGAAGGCACTAATTTAATGTAATCTTTATTTTATTACACACCACACACACACACACACACACACACACACACACACACACAGGGGGGGGGGAGAGAATTGTTGGAATTAGTTCTCTTTTCCTACTCTCTGGGTCCTAGATCTTAGTTTGTAAGATTTAGTGGCAAGTGCCTATACCTGCTGAGCCATCTCAGTGGCCCCCAATGTAAATTTTCTTATTTGACTGCTGTAGGTATAGCTCATTGGGTAGAGCTCTAACCTGACACTCCAGAGACCCTGGGTTCAGTCCCCAAGCCACTCGAGAGGTGGGAGCTGGAAGCTCAGGACTTCCAGATCATCCTTGGCTTAGCCTTAGGTTCACCTGTGCTACACTGGACCCTCTCTGAGAAAAAAAAAATGCATTTAGCTCTTTTCTTATTTGCACATGCAAAGATCAGTTTTTTCCCTTGCCAACCTTGGTTAATGACTATTATGCCCAAAGCTTGTAGTGCTAATAAGACATTAGCCAACCATCTCTAAACACAGCCTATAGCTGGTAAGTGGCTGAGGAAGGGTGTTGATGTCTGTGTTCAGGTCGTGTTGTCCTGGCTCTCAGTTTAGGCTTGTGTTTAGTTAATAAAAAGGGAAGAATCTGTCTCTCTCTGTCCTTCTCTCTCACACACCAAACTTTTTCAGTTATAGGGAAAGATAGGTTGTTGAAAAGTTTGCTAAATTATTTTCTGCCTATTTACAAGATAAACAGGGCATATGGAATGTAGCTTTCAGGCATCTGTGTTTAGATACAGAAGGCTTTGGCAAATGAGCCAGCACAGTTTTGCCTGAAGACATGTTTGTGGATTAGCCAACGAAAATAGGGCAGTAGACTTATAAGCTCTTGATTTTAATGATTGGTTTCTAAGCTGGAAAATTAAAGGCAATAGCCACACATGGTGGGCTGCCTCTGACCCGTCGGACCTCAGAAACTTCCTTCACATTATCAGGAAGAGGAAAGATTTGTTTTGTTCCTAAGAGCAGGGATGATATACAAGGAGTGAAACAGAAGTGAAAGTGACTCTGATTATAATAATCTGGAGATGGTTTGGGGACGACAGTAGGTTGTGACTTGCACATTTAGGGCACGTTGCATCTTGTGCTGGAAGGAAGAATGCTGATGGCCTTGTCCTTCTCTGCTGCTGTACTCTTTCAGGAAGCACAGGGGTGGAACTGTGTTCAGCTTATGGAGTCATCCTTAAGCAAGCTCGTCTCCTATTTCTGGTATTCAGCTATCCATTCATTCACTCATTCATTGACTCTTGCCATTGGTACTTGAGTGAAGTTTTTCAGGCACAGGGCTTCGTGGCATAGACAGTTTAGTCAGTAGTTAGTACTGCGGTGTAATGGAAGCCATGAAAGGCCTTCCTGGACTTGCTCTTGACAGAGCCCAGCCACTGCTGCACAGAGGGAGGCGAAGCCTAGAGTACTCTGCGTCTTGCTTCTTGCCTCCCACCGCTCATGCGATGACAAAAGCACCTGTTGCACCTTGAGTCTTGAGCTTTCTAAGGATCCAATCTCAGAGAGAGCCTCATTTCCTCCTGCCATTCCAGAGCCTTCTAACCCTCCGTTTCTCCTTCCCCTGTTTGCCCTTCTCCCCTCCCCACTCACGGTGTTACCAAAATGCCTTGGGATTCACTGGATTTGAAAAGAACAGGGCCACTGGTTGAAACTCAACAGGGTGTGGGTTTGCAGGCTCTGGACTGAGGAATTACAGATGCAACTACCAGCCAGAACTGGGATGCAGTTTTATTTCTCTCCTAGTAGTGTGGATTGAAGGTGTGTCCCCGGCCTTTTTAGTATTTATTTTGAAATAAAATTTCACTGCCTTGTTCAGCTGGCCTTGAAGCTACTCTGTAGGATAGGGGGGCCTTGCACTTGTGATGCTCTGGCCTCAGCCTCCTAAGTGTTGGGAATGTTAACCAGCTCTGCCAGGCCTGGCTAAACTTACTTTCCAGCACTTGCTGGCTGTGCTCTGAATCTATTTCAGAATTTAACTTGCAGTGATGCGTTTAAACAGAGTGTCTTCTAACCCCTAACCTTGCCATGTCTTGATTTATTTTGGTCTTTATTCATTATTGTTCTATAAGGTTTGTTTTTCTCTTCAACAAATCTTTTGCCAAATATATTGTGAGGCTATTGATATTTCTCATGTATCGTGTGTTTTATTCATATTTTTCAATTACATTTTCTGAAGTTGCTAATATGTGAACAAAATACCACCTCCAAAAGACGAAAGGCAGCATGCATGGTTCTTTTTTTTGTCTCAGAAGGCTTTCATTAGAAAGACATCCACCTATGAGGATCTATTAGAATTAAAAATATAAATTACATTCTACTTAGACACTCCTTCTCTGTGACTTTGTCCAGCAGGAATAAATGCACCTGTCTTTAAAGATATGAATGTTTATGGTTGTATTGTTTACAAGAGTAAAAAGCTGGAACTAGAGGTGAGTGCCCATGAATATGGAAATGACTGAGTACATTAGGCACTGCCACGAAATGGAAGATTATACAGCCATCACTCTGAAATGAATTACAGCTATTTCAGCGGGCTTGACAAGATTTCAATGCAGTACTTACTGAGATCAGAAAGAAGCAGATCTGTCATGAAGATTTTGTGGAAATCACATTCTTATGAATAGGTGTGGACACACACGTGTGTACACATATACACATACACACATGCCATTTGCATATAGCCATATGATTTTAGGAAGAGCTATATACTTACACAAAATCCATTTAATGTACTAATCCGTGAACACGGAGGAGGTGTGACGTTGAGGCTGCTACGGAAATAGAAAGTGTAGCTTAGACACATCATTCTTAATAGGCTTTAATGTCTTGAGCTGGACACTTCCTCTTAATAATACTGTTTTAATGGAAAAAAAGAGAATGTTCTCGAGAGCCGAACCACAGGGCATTATAAGACAGCGGCACAAGAAACAACCATCAATGAATAATTCAAATTATAGTTATTTTCTACCGAAGTGGGCAGTTTGTGTTTCCTTCCAGGGCAAGGAAATTTTCAAGTTATGTTTTCACACACAGAAGGTTTGCATGTCCTCAGTAAAGTCCAGTCCCTGCAGGGTCAGGAGGCGGAGACACACACACAAGGACACACAAGCAGATGTTTTATGTGTGCATGCGTGAACAGGCGTGCCCACACAGCAGATGCTTGCCTGTGCGAACACGGGCGCATGGGTGTGTGCTCACATACTCACTGGACATTGGGGTTTCTGAGGAACCTGGCATTATGGTGGGATCCATCTTTTGTGGGGAGCAGACTCCTTTTGGAATTAATGAAACTTGGAGGATAGAAAGATGGGATAGAAAGAAACTGTCACCTTCCTGTGCTTATGGGGTTCCGGGTCAAGTTATATGAGTGCATTTTGTCCTCGGATACGGTGATGCTATGGGCCTATTCATTCTCAGCTGATGAGCTGCGGTATTACAGGTGGACCTGTGTGTTAATCTGAACACCCTCACCTGACGTGGGCTAATAAGCCATGACTGTGGATGTGTGCATGGGAAGGATTTGGGCAGGGAGATGCTCCATGAAGGAGACTCCTCCCAGCTGCCCTTGGTGGACGCACCGTGTTGTACAGGGGAAGCATACTCGAGAGGCCTTAGGGTGTCCCGACTGAACAATTACTCTGATTCTTCCTTCCAGTGGCTTAGTGAATTGTGTTATCCAAAAAGCTGTGGGGGTTTCCAGCCTGTGTTTTGGCAACATTCTGGTTCCTCTTTACAAAGAATTTTAGTGTTTTTTTTTTCTTTTTAATTGAAGCATTGTTGTGCCACACACACAAAAAAAGATTTCTCTCTGTAGTTCCGCTCTGTGGAGTAAATGCTCAGGGACAGCCATTTCTTGATAATCACACGGCAGGCCCTATGCTAGGAGCCAAAGATTCAAAGACAGGAGAGGAGTTCACAGGAGAGGTGCAGAGAAGGACCTCTTAAAGGATGACCATTGAGGTTAAGGACTGTGTGTGTGTGTGTGTGTGTGTGTGTGTGTGTGCATGTGGGTGCCACATTGCCTGACATAGGTTTAGGGAACTGAACTCTGCAAGAACAGCAAGTGCTCTTAATTGCTGAGATATATTTCCAGCCTCATAATAGTGAGTTTTTAAGAGAAAAGAGAAGGTACATACAAGGCAGACATGTGGGGTGACGGGATCACTGAAGGCTTTTCAGAAGGTGACAAGCAGGGGCTTGTAGGTGGGTGGAGTTCTCAGGCAGCGAGGTGGGCAATCGAGAGGAATGAGTACTGCAATAAAGACGGGTGGCTGAGGAAGGACAGGGGTGCTTGGAAAGGAGGAGTGTAGTGTGTGTGTTTGAGTGTGGGATCCATGGGCATGTGGAACCCAGGCTACAAGTGTGTGCTAGGAGATAGCCTCGTGGGTTTTGTCTACGACATTGGAGTTTACCTGTCTCACAAAGGTACTTGTGTATGTCACAGACTGACTCTCACAGACTGGGTATATGGAACTTGGTCAGAGAGACCAATTTTTTTTTTTTTTTTTACTAACACAAATAAAGCATACACAGCTAGTAAATATGCTTTGTAGGCCTGTGAGATAGTCCAGAGTGGGTTTTCATGGCTTATATAATCAGCAAGAATGGGAAATGTTTAGCCAGCATCTCCTGGGCTGATGATGTATTTCTCCTCACAGGTAATACTCTCCGGAATCATTGGATTGACAACCTGGAAAAGGCCTATGATACTCCTGGTATGTACCGATCACGTGACACTGCCCTATACGAGGTGAAGCCCATGTAAGCAAGCAAAGGGTATACTTCAGAAGTAAATGTTCCCAGCCAGGCGGTGGTGGAGCCCACCTTTAATCCCAGCACTTCGGAGGTAGAGGCAAGTGGATCTCTGACTTTGAGGCCATCCTGGTCTACAGAGCAAAGTTCTAGGATAACCAGGGCTACACTGAGAAACACTGTCTCAAATAACAACGCCCCCATAAACAAATAGATTAATAAATAAAATAGAAGTAAATAATGATAATAATAATAATGATGATGATGATGAAAGATGATAATCTTGATGGTTTATGATTTGCTTTAAGTTCTATATACATCTAGAGTTATACATTATGTTTCTAGTCCAGAATTAAAATCAGATCTTCCCCCTGGAGGGGCTGCCTTGCCAGGTCACAGGAGAAGAGGACACCCTCAGTCCTGATGTGACTTGATGAGCTGGGGTAGGTTATGGGGCAGGGGGAAGAAAGAGGGAGTTTGGGACAAGGTAGAGGAGAGGGAGGGGACTACAAGTGGGATGTAAAGTGAATAAATAAATAAATTAATTAAAAAAGAAAAACAAAACAAATGAAAATGACAACCAATGGCTGAGAGATGGCTTAGTGTTTCTTGCAGAGGACTTAACTTCAGGTCCCAGCACCCACATTAGGGAGGGGGCTCACAGCTTCCAGTAACACCAGCTTTAGGGGATCTGACATCCTCTTTGGCTTCTACAGGCACCCCCTGCACATGCATGTACCCACACATGTATGTGTGTGTGTGTATATATATATATATATATATATACACATGTGTATATATATATATATATATATATATATATATATATATATACACACACCTACCATCATAACCTGCACCAAATTCATTATATTAAGAAATAAAAATAATGTGTACAGAAAGAAACAAACTGGAAGCACCTTTCAGGCACACCTGGCTCTTCCTCTGAGCCGTACAACTCTCTGCCCTTTTGAAACTCTGTGTGTGTGTGTGTGTGTGTGTGTTGAGGGGATAATTTATTGATACTAGGGCTGGCTCTCCCACCTTCTCTTTATTTCATCCTTCCCTCCTTTTCCTTCCTTCCTTTGTTGCCTAGCCTCCCCTCCCTTGCTTCCTGAACGTTAGACTATGCCAGGGGCTAACATAGGGATGAGGCCTTGTTTCAGTAGAGAAGCCAGTGGGGCCTTTTGCTGTTGTTTTTTCAAGATAGGGTCTCACAGAGCCGAGGCTGGCCTTGAACTTTATATGTAACTGAGGCTGGCCTTGTTCTCTGTATCCTCCTGCCTCTGAGCCCCAGGATTTTAGGTATGCTCCAGTACCCCTGCCAAGGCAGTGTTCTGCAGATCTGGGCTCAGCTTCCCAGGTTTGGCACTTCCTGGCTTCACCTCCCTTCACATACTGGGCACCATCTGCCCTGGGTCTTTCTTCCTCTGGTCTAGTGCTTGGCTGTGGCCTTCTTTGGCTCTCAGCTCAGCAGTCACACCCTCAAGAGACACTTTTCACTGGCTAACTCAGTGACTAGTCCCTGCTCTCCAGAGTGTGGTGACCTAGCCAAGCCCGTTGGGGGCAGTCTGCTTAGCGTATGGACTGGCTGCTTAGCATTTGTCATTTGTCCCCTCGGGAGACAGGTGAGGACAGGGGCCTTCTCACTTATCCTTCCATCTCTAGGGCCTGTTCGTTCATAGGCTTTTGTGGCCGTGTGGAGGCTGGGGCAAGATTGCCCCCCCCCCCCCAGCCCTTTGTGAGGCTGGCTGTCCTCATTTTCAGTTGTGTCCACACCAGCCTGGGACACGTGAGAGTTCCTTTGAAAGAGGCAGTTCCTTTGTGTGCCCTCCTCCGATTGTTGCTGTGATTGCTTCAGGTCGTTCATGAGCTTGAACAAAGAAGGGTCAGCTCGCCCCAGTTCCTTCAAGCTCAGCTTTTCATGGAAACCCAGAACTCTATTCGTTAAATAGTCTTCTTGTATTGGAGGAGTGCTCACATGCCCAGTACAATAAAAATGCTGGAAAACAGGTTTTAAATACTTGTAGTTGTCATTGGGGGCAAGCATGTGCCTTTGTGTAGTAGGTTTTTTTTTTTTTTTTTCTTCACAGAAGACTAACATTTTCCATGTTTAAAGTATATTCTTATTTTTCTACTGTTTATTCCTTTTTGTTTTAACAATGTTTTTGGAATTTCTCCCAAAATCAGACATGGTTCTAAAAATGGCCTCAAATCTGGTCATGGGAAGGTACTAAGACAATTAGTAAACGGAATTGTATTAATTCCGTATTTCTCATTGGTGGTGCATTAATAAGAATCGCCACTGTGAAAGTCCAGCTGTAGTTTTGGTTACTACTATGAGGTGGTAGTTAGAACTGTTGCTACTTTCTTGTCAGTGAAGGTTACAAATGAAGGCTTGGGGCTAGTGAGATGATTCAAGCCCAAGCTGAGTTTAATCCCCAGGACCCACGTGGTGGAAGGAGAGAAGAAACTCTTATGACCTCCATGTGTATCTTGTGGCATGCCCAAACAAACAAACAAACAAACAAAGTATGTTTGGGGTTCCATGTTGTTCTTTTATGTTATTTGAACAGGTCTCATTATGTAACCATGGTGGCCTGGAACTCACCATGTGGACTAGGTGGCTTTGAACTCACAGAGATCTGTTTGCTTCTGCCTCCTGAGAGCTGGGATTAAAGGTGTGTGCCGTCATGCCCAGCAGGTTCCATGTAGTTTATTCTCATTTATAGGTCCCCTAAACTGTACCTCAAACCAAGGATAAGAAATGGTAACTACAGTGGCTATTTAAAAATGATCCTTTCATTGCCCTAACTTCATTTTTACAGTGGTTAGAACAAAATGGCTTAAAGTAGACGTTCCTCTTTTCATTTACTCTAAGGAAGGCTGCGAGATGGCTCTGTTCCATGATGGCTCTGTTCCATGAAGCCATTTGAGATTCAGGGCCCCTTCTTCTGTTGTGAGAAATCATGGGAAACTGACATACTTTTTTCAGAGTGGTTGAGGACTAACCTCCAAGGTTGGTTAGCTATCAAGAGTCATGCCATGTTTTCTGATGCCCTGAAGAATCGGAGCCCAAACCATCACATGCTGTTGAGGATTCTCTGCATGTGGATGAGCTGAGCTGTGAGGCTCTTTGGGCCTGTATAGGCTGGTTCATTCAAAGATGTTTTGTGGCTGACCATAATTTGGAATGAGCCCTTATTATTTCACTGTGCGTGAAACCTAGATTTAATGCTGACACATTGCCACTAATTATTAGGTACCCATGGGGGGGGAATCTCCTAATTTATGTGTCTGTGAAACAGGTGCTTTAATTCAGAACAATATTTTGAGTCCTTCCTGCTGTGCTATTAGAGATTTCCAGAACCCTCTGGAGTTATTTTGATGATGACATTTTAATTTCAGATGAGCATTGTAAGCTCCATTTGTGTACATTGTAATTCAGTGGTCTTCTTTCCTCTCTCTCTCTTTTCTTCTCGATGTTTTACAATGCCTTGTATCCCAGCCTGGCCTCAACATTGGCTTTAGGCTAGCCAAAGATGGCTTTAAACTCCTGATCCTCCTTTCTGAGTACTGGGGCTATGGGCATGTACCACCATGCATGGTTTCATTTGGTGCTGGACCTTGAATCCTAGTTTTCATGCATACTAGAGAAGCATTGTCTGGATAGCTGGGTGTGGTGATGCTCAACTGTAATCTCATCTACTTGGGAGGCTGAGGCAGGAGGATCAAAAGTTTGAGGGAAATCTGGGTTACTCTCTCAAAAAAAAAAAAGACTTTCACAAAAAAAGGCTGGATATATAGCTGAATGGTAGAGCGATTACATAGCATGCTTTAGGCTCTAGATCCAGTACCCCATAACACAACACACACACACACACACACAACACACACACACACACACACACATGGATGCACACAAGGAGGGGGGTTGAGGTGGTTCTTACTCTTCAAAATTACTGATGGTATATTCTTGTATGTCTATAATGTGTGAGGCTCTTTAACATACAGACTCTCATGGGGTCTATGTGGCAGGTGTCCCCTGGTTTGTAGACGAGGATACAACTGGCTTGTCCACTTCCCAGTCAGATGATACGGCATTAGAAAGAGCCTCCATGCTCTGGTCCTACTATGGTATTCTTCCTATTGTCCTGTTCCACAACCTCCTTGGTTAGCAAAATGGTGGACACCTCCCTGGGGCCGACAGTGGCTTATTTTGGGCATGAAATCTAAATTAAATAAGTTGTTTTCTTACTCTTGCCTGATCAATTCCCTCTAAGTCTGGAACTGAAAAAAACTTTGGGGATTTTATACTTCACCTTAAAGAGTCAGACAAAAATAACGAAGACAGCACAAGGTTCACTTTTGCATCTCCGACTTGTCATTTTCTTTTTTTTTTTATTTATATTTTTTTATTGTTTGTTATTATTAGTTACATTCTATTAACTCTGTATCCCAGCTGTATCCCACTCCCTTATTCCCTCCCAATCCCACCCTCCCTCCCTCAGCTTCTCCCTGCCCCTTTCCAAGTCCACAGAATGGGGAGGACCTCCTCTCCTTTCGTCTGGCCCTGTTTTATCAGGAATCTGTTTTATCAGTCCTCCTCTGTGGCCTAGCAGAACTGCTCCTCCCTTGGGGGGTGGGGAGTCAAAGAGCCTGCCATTGAGTTCCTGTCAGAGATAGTCCCTGTTCCCCTTACTATGGGAAACCAATTGGTTATTGAGCTACCACGAGCTTCGTCCGAGTAAAGGTTCTAGGTTATATCCATACATGGTCCTTGGTTGGAGAAACAGTTTCAGAAAAAACCCCTGTGCCCAGATATATTTGGTCCTTGTGGGGCTCCTATCCTTTCCCTGTCATACTAACTCCCCTATCTGTTTTGAAATGCTGCTTGGTAGGGTCTTTCAGATGCCTTCTGCGGTAGACTCCTGTCATATGTCCAATGCACATCTCATTTGTC